AGCACCCAATGAAATCATGCATGAGCACCCAATCAGTTCACCCAGAAGCACCCAAATAATTTATGCACAAGTGCCCAATTAGTCCACGCCTGATCACCCGATTTATTTTTGCATGAGTGCCCATCTAGCTCAGGCATGGGTGCCCAGTTAGTGCATGCATGAGTGCCCCATTAATTCACGCCTGAGCACCCACTTTGCTCACACGGGAGTGCCCACTCTGCACACACATGGGTGCCCAATTTGCCCTCGTCTGGGCGCTGCGCTGAGCATCCGCAGCAGGTTTAGGCAGCCCCAAACCCAGACAGGAGCCCCAGTGCGGGGCGATGTGCCAGCTCCCTGACACGGGGATGCGTGGGGACCTGCTGGGACCCTGGGAAGGAGCCGCAGCGAGTCCCTGGGGGAAATAAATGCCCCAGGACCACCACCCCCACGCCTCGGCGGGTGATGCCGGACCAGTCGCCCATGGGTTGGTGGTGGAGCCGACGGCCAGGCAGAGCGGGAGTGCCCTGCAGCAGCGGGGGAACCGCTCTGTGCCTGGAAATAATTAACCCTGGTTTCCCTGATAAGGCGGCGGTGCCCATGGCCCTGTGGGATCAACGTGCTGTCGTAGGAGCTGGAGCGAGGGGGGACGTGCCGGGGCTCATCGAAGACTCCCCGCTGGCTGCTGTGTGGGGACGGTGCTTGCCGAGCCTTTGGCAGCCCGAGCCCACACGAGGACAGGCCTGTGCCATGGCCGTGGCACACGGGGGCAAGGCTGGGTGTGCACGCTCCCGCTCAGGATCTGGCCCTGCAGCTGTGGCTAAGCCCCTGCCCTTGCGCTAACAGAGGAGGGGGTGGCTGCAGAATGGGAGGGCAGCACAAAAAAAGCCCTGTGGGGCTGGAGCATCATGTCACCTCGTGCATCCCACTGTGGCCAGGGGTCCCCAAACTGTTCCGAATCTGGCCACCTATCCTGCACTCCTTACTGCCGCCCTGTCCCCACCGCGGTCCAGCAAGCAACGAGCTCCCCCGCGGGCAGGGCGATGGATGGGGATTCGTGGTCCCGGGTCCCTCCTCTCCTCACTGCCTGGCAAACACAAATTAATGGGCTTGAGCACTGATTAACCGGAGCTGTTTCTTGCTGCAGTGGCAGCTGGGTGGTGGGAAGAGAGGGGGCACGTGAAGGGCGGGTGGTGACGGAGCTGTCAGTCCTCGCCTGTGCTGTTGGGGATTGATGGAAAGGTGGGGGTAGAGAGTTGGGGGTTTTTGGGTACCGCTAGCTGGGAGGAGGGGGCTGGGGGCTGCTTGCAGTGCAGCCCCATCGGGCAGTCGCTGCCTCTCTGTGCTGCATGAGACGGGTGGCCGAAACCCTCCTCCCAGCTGAGATGGGAGTGGGGACGGACCGACCAGTGCTGCGAAGGGGCAGCGAGGGCCCATGGCCACGGCTTGGCCGTGTGGGGCAGCTCCTGTGCTGCGCTGGGGTGACTGCCCCTGCTGCCTGCACCTGCTGCCTGCTCCTGCCTGTGGTGTGAGCCCTGCGCTCAGTGTTTCCCCACGCTTTGCTAAGAGCAGTGGAAACAAAGATGCTGCCGGCACGAGCTGCCGTGCGGCGTTGTACAATACGGGAGGGCGTCTGCGGTGTGTAGCCGGGGCTCCCAGCTCGGCGATGCCTCTTACAGCGTTGCGGTTCATAATGAATGCTAATACCCTGCCTTTATTTAGCGCCTTTCATCCCCAAGGGTCCCAGGGCACGCTGCATCCGCTAACGAGCTGCTACGTGTGCTTATTTATAGCCATCCCCATAGCGGCTGCGGGAATGGCGGTCCCTGGGGAGCATGGCACGGCAGCTGAGCCCAGCCGCAGCCCCGGCTCAGCAGGGGCACGGCAAGGGAGCGGGGCTGCTGTTCCCCTTGTCCTTGAGCGCTGAGCGCTAAATAGCCATCCCCATATCGGCTGCGGGAATGGCGGTCCCTGGGGAGCATGGCACGGCAGCTGAGCCCAGCCGCAGCCCCGGCTCAGCAGGGGCACGGCAAGGGAGCCGGCTCTGCTCCGGTGGGATGCTGCAAGGGGGCTGCTGCAGGTCGTTCCCCTTGTCCTTGAGCGCTTGGGGTCAAACCTGGCTGAGGTTTATATCGCTGCAAATTGATTTGTATCGGCTCAGCATCACGCCGTAATCGATGCCGGGGAAGGGAAATGCAGCAGCCGCTGCCACACAGGTACTTTCTGTGAGCTCGGCTGGGCTCTGCACACCAGGGAGCTGCAGAGGATGGATCGAGGAGAGTGGATGTCCCCTGTCCCCAGCCCCAGGACAGGTGGCTCAGCCCGGTCAGGAGAGTGGCGTGTCCCCAAGACTTCCATGGCCGCAGGTCCCTGCTGCGGGGACGGGCGTTAGCATCCCTAATCAGTGCCACTTTGAGTGTCGACACCCAGCAAGGTCGGAGCGGCTGGGAAGTGGCAGCCGCGAAGTCATCATCTGTCTTGGATCCGTAACTGCAGATACGGGGAGGCAGGTACCCGCTCAGCCGCAGCTTGCCCGGCCACAGCGACGCTGGGCTTGTGTTTCCCAGCGCTGGGAACGCTCTGCCCCGGGGAGACGGAAGATTTGGTGGCAGCGGAGGGATGCACCCAGAGGTGGGCGATTTTCCAAGGGCTGGGAGATGGGGCCGTGTTCCCACCCCAGGGCAAACCCCGCAGCTTCCCCTCGCACCCGGGGCAGGAGGAAGGGCACCGGTGCCAGTGTGCTGGAGGAGGGATGGGGCTTTGCGTGGCCTCGTTCCGGGGATACACCTTAACAAATCCCACCTCGGGAGCCCTGTGCCAGTTTTTGGGCTGGCACCTGAACAGTCCCCTCTGTCGGAAAAGCCTCTCCCAGGAGCATCGCGCATCCCTCTTGCAGGCACAAGGGGAGCCGGCTCCGTCCCTCCCCTCCAGCCCCAGCCCCAGCCTGAGTGTGTCGTTACCAGCGTTTCTCCTGTACTAAAAAAAGCACAGATTTCTTAATTGTTTCCTGCTGGAGTTGAAAGGCAGCTCCCGGGCCTGAAATAGCACGTTGGGGGAAACACAGCCGAGCGAGAGAGAGAGCAGAAGGCAATTCGCCTGGAGGGGCTGAGCCGAGCCCCAACTGCAGCCCCGGGCTGCTGCTGTTGCCCCTTTCACCTGCCCCGAGGGCTGCCCGAAGTCCAGCCGCTCACCCTCCTCCTCCTCCTCCTCCCACCTGCCTTCATCAGCACCTGCGGGCGATCTCGGGGCTGCAGAGCTGGTGCCTGGGGTATCCCCTGGGCACCCTCGGGGTGGGGGGGTAGTCCTGGCTGGTGTCTCGATGCTTGCAGGGAAGCCTCTTTCTGTTAGAGACGTCACTCAGCGTCTCTCATTTGGAAGGATGCTTCCATGCAACCATTTTTTTTGGGGATGGGGAATCCTTCGGGAGTGGCACAACTATTGTTTTTGCCCGCCCCAGCTCCGCCGCTAGACACAGTGTGTCCCTCCTGGCTCCCTCCTGCCAGGAGGCCTCTGTCCTTTCCCCTGTCTGCTCTCCTCCTGCCAGACAGCCCTGCCAAAACAACCCTCCAAATCCCTCCTGCGGCACGGCCGAAGCCCTCGGTGTCCTTCAGCCCAGGTGCCGAGCAACCCTGTACCCGCCTCCCCGCTCTGTCCCCGGGTGCTGCCGTCTATAGACATCCCGTGGCAGTACGGCGGCGGGTGGACCTCCCGGCACGGCTGGTCCCAGCATGGCTGCTGCAGCCCTTTGCCAGCTCCTTGGGGAGGCAGGGGGAGAGGCTGCCGGCCTCTCTGCCCCATGCCGAGCCCTTCCCGGGGGGTTTTGCAGGCTCTGTCCCTCCAGCGGTCCCCGAGCTGGGATGGAGGGACCCCCCATGTGCACGGGGACAGCCTCAGATGCAGCGATTCCTGCCCACGGGAACGTGGGAGCCAGCACCCGGCTGGCTGCGAGGTGGGGGCCAGCGTGTGCTCTCCCGGCCACCCCACTTCTGCTGCCTGCCAGCCCTCACCTTCTGTGGTCTGCGCCTCCTGCCAGGCACGTTATAAATCTTTCTGATGGAAAATTGCTTTCTTTTATTTGCCATCCAAGGTAATTGGCATCTGTTGATGTGTCTTGGGTCTCTATTTTTATCATCCGTTTGCACATTGACACATCTCCACTCCGCCTCATTATCCCAGCGCGTTTCAGACCTATTGCTTTTTTATTATTATTTAGATGCACGGGAAATGACTAACGAGGCCGTTCCCCCTGCGTCCTCCTGCTGGCACCGGGCTCCCCGCTGGCGTGCTGGCCAGGCACCGCTCCTGCAGCGAGGCGTGCGGGAACGGGCACCAGCTCCCCGCCCCATCGGGCTCCCCGGCATCCCGCATCCCATCGGAGCCTTTCCTCTGCTGAGGACATTTGCAATCTCAGCAGCTGTCCCCGGGCTGGGGACACTCAGGGTTGCCAACTCTCGCCATTTTTTAGCTTGTCATGTTTTTGGGGTTTCTCTTCCCCAAGCTGCCTCCAGGCAGATGTTTTGGCAGGTGTTTCCAGAGATGTTTTGTCTCTGGGGAGGCGGGAGGGCAGGGCCGGATCCTCCCCAGGCATGAACCAGCCTGGCCGCTGCGTGGTCCATAGCATCTTGCAGCGATGGTGCTGCACTCTCCTGGCAGGGAACAAAACATCTTGGTGGGCTCCCTGGTTTCGGGGCTGGAGGGGCCCCAGCACCTGCAGCCCCGGCCCCATCGACCACCAAAAAGGGCTGTGGCCCAGGCCGCCTCGAAGGCAGCCGCTCGCATGCAGGTAACACATGGCAGCGCGTGGAGCGAGCGAGCCCTGGGGCATCCCCCCCAGAGAAGTCACTTAATGTGAAGTGCAGAAGAGCAGCCCCCACG